CGTTCTGACTGCCTTCGAACGCGCAGAACGCGTTTTGGCTGTTTTTAAACGCTCGCAACGCGTTCTGGTAACTGTTAAACAGCCGGAACGCGTTTTGTCAATTGTTGAACGCTCACAACGCGTTCTTAATGTTCGACTTGTATTATTTGCCGCTTTCTACCTGCGTACAATGAGATTTATATTGTACTTATAAAACAAATGAATTTCAATCCATTTTTCAGTTTTTAGGAAACAATTCAATTATTGACAACTATAATTGGATACCAAAGATGGGTTCGGTTTTTCTCGCCGAATCATTTCAACAATATTAAATTTCTTATAATTGTTTTTCAGTTCTAGGAAGAAAGTTACACTGAACACTTATATTGCCGAGCATATAATATATGAATGAATGAAATTTTAATAACCTTTTGTAATTTCAAGATTTTGTCAACTTACCTAAACAATAGGTGTACGGTTATTAGCTATTGTGATAAACTGAAGGTACTAAAAATGTACAACTTTCCTTCATAATCATTCCAGTACAGTACACTTATGATCATTTGTAATTTGTATGATCTTTCCGGCGATTTTATAACAATGCACATACCGATAACTCTATATGATAATGATAAAGGAGCTTTAGAAATTAACTTTTCGAGAAGGTTCCATTATAATTACATCTAATAATTCCTAGAGGAGGTATTGATTTTGAGTATATAATAACTAACTTGACTTTCATTCATTCATTCATATATCATATGCTCGACAATATAAGTGTTCAGTGTAACTTTCTTTCTAGAACTGAAAAAACAATTATAAGAAATTTAATATTGTTGAAATGATTCGGCGAGAAAAACCGAACCCATCTTTGGTATCCAATTATAGTTGTTAATAATTCAATTGTTTCCTAAAAACTGAAAATGGATTGAAATTCATATGTTTTATAAGTACAATATAAATCTCATTGTACGCAGGTAGACAAGGGCAAATAATACAAGTCGAACATTAAGAACGCGTTGCGAGCATTTAAAAACAGCCAAAACGCGTTCTGTGCGTTTAAAAACAGCCAAACCGCGTTCTGTGCGTTCGAAGGTAGCCAGAACGCGATGTGGCCGTTTTTTCCGTCCACTGAGCGTTTTCGGTCTTCGGGCCTAACATATCTACAATTACTTAACAGAATAAGTCATCTAAACGCTACCTATAAAAGATTTTCTTTGATTTTACCCGTTTAATGAAACAAATTTTCTTTCGACAAATGGATAACAATTTGAAAGCTAAACCTAAACTTGGTTATTTTAGACAATATATGTCCTTTCTGAAATTGTTATAGGTAACACCTACCATACAGTCCCATTATGACTCCCAGTGATTTTTTTTTTCGTTTCATGTTAAGCAATTTTGACAACTCCGTGTATTCTAATTTTATGTTTTCCTTCTACTTCACTTCTTCACCTATCATTACATATTTAAATCGAGAATGTACATATCTCGGAAACAGAAAAGTAATATACACGATTATGTAGTTCCATGAGTATGGAATACCAATATTCTAATACAAAATTGACCCATTTAAATTTTTGTCGAATGTATGTACCAATTGGTAATGGCACTGGAGAAGCCAGTAACTACCTCTAAGCTGGTTCAAAGGGTGAAGGATACCTTAAATGAACTAGGAACGAGGAATAGAGTAACTATTACCTGGATACCTGGTCACTCGGGATACAAGGGTAACGAAAAAGCTGACGAACTTGCAAAGCAGGGGGCAGATATGGAAGAACAACCGGACGGGGAGGTAGGAATACCATACCAAGAAGGAAACAACGCTATTAGTAGAATCATGGGAAAGCAAAAATGGAACACACATCTGGGACACAGATGGTCCAAGGAGCTGCTCGGGAAATACATAAATAGCTGGAACATGGAGCTAAGGAACATGAAGATGAACGAGGAGCGTCTTATCCTAGGATTGTTTACTGGGCACAGCGAGCTTAGGTGCTACACCCACAAAACACAGGGAAGAAGTTAAGTTACCTATGTAAATAGTGCGAAAGCGAGGAAGAAACCCCGAGACACGTAATCTACGAATACATAGCATTAATGGAGAAACGACAGAAACGTCTGGGGGCAAGATTAATAGATAGAGAACTTTTTAAGGAGTTATGCAGGAACCTGGAGATGCTGCTGTGTTTTGGTAGGGCAGATGGTCTATGGACACCTGAGTGCGAGACGGGGGGATGGGGATACAATGGTCTGACGACTCGATGTCCCTGAGCATTTTTGCACCCTGTCTCACAGTCATCAATAACAATAATAATAATAATAAACCAATTGGTACCTAAAATTCGAAAACATCATCTCATCAACCAATGAAAGACAAAATAGTAGATGGTGTTTTCTTTTAACTGATTAATAAATTTTAAAATATTCAATAAACTTTTGCAATCGATTGTCAGGGTTTGTAAAATGTTACAACTTTCAAAAAATTAAGAATAGANTATATATATATACATAAAGTAATGTTTTTCTAATGATGTTCTACACTTTTCTCTCTAGGTAATTGTAAAATATTTCTTCATAGTAACGAAAGGCACAAATAATGAACACATAAAATCAAGTTGTTTACAGCTATCTTTAGAATGACCTGAAAGGACAAACAACCTCAACATTAGCAAAAAAACAGCTTATCAGTTTGGCTCATCATATTCAAGTAATATAAGATGCCTTTCACTTTTTAAAACAGAAACTGTATGGCTTGAAAGAAATTATCATTATTTGGGGCCCAATTTTTATTTGCAAGAATATTTTGAAAAAATATGAAGAATAAAAAATATCAGGTGTTTACGTTAAATAAGAAACATTAGTCTTATATATCTACTGTCTAATGTGACAATAGTAACTATTATTTTAATTTTAATAATATAAACAGGACAATTAAAGTACAATTAAATTATTAGCTATTACTAAAAGTTGTTATTGCCGATTAAAATAACAACTGTTTTAGCAATTACTGCTTTAGGTTTATTACACAATAAATAAATAAATATGTATTTATGTAGATAGTAATTATACTAATTCGTACAATGATGAATTAATAAAAAAAGTATTTACTAAAGCCACAAAATTTTTCAAAAAGTATTAATTAATTAAATAATTTTGGAAACGCAATCCAAATCAGTTCTTAACTCTAGTTTTACTATCAAATTTTTCGGTGTCTAAGTTCATACAAATGTAAGTATCTATACCAATTGTAATCAGGTAGTGACAAGCAAAATCAGACTTGATCTTGGTTTTGCAAAAAGGGATCTACAGGAATGTCCTAGGAATTAGTGTTCTTTGTCCCTATATTTTACTTTGTTCAAGTCCATGTACTATTTTGCTCTCAAAAAACTCAATTTGTGCGTTGAGGGAAGGGTCAGTTTATTCATTGAAGGAGGGTAGTAACTATAGATATTATTTTCTTTCAAAATATATATGATAGAAATTTTCAGCATTTAAGGCAATTACAGTATCGATAAATAGAAAAATGTGTGCTTAGAAGGATTATTAAAAGAAATTTAAGATAGATTCCTGACCGTTAATTTTAAATTATATTGTTCTTTCCATAGTAATTTAAGAGATGAATTCTCAAAGGGTTGGAGATGCGTGAATAATGGTTAGAACATCTCCTAAAAAACTAAATAAGGAAAACATTTAATTTCACTACAAATAGGGTGATAACCAAAAGAAAACCAGTTGTTTTGAAACTACCTGCATAGGTAAACCAAAATTTTCACCGAGCATAGAAAGTGCACAATTCTTTGTCGCCGTTTTTGCTGAATGTGAAATAAAATTTTACAACCACTTCCATCTGAAAATATCTTCTGATTTGTCTTAATCATTTATTTGACACTTACGTTTCTTTTAATTTATATGTGGTCAAATAATTAAACAACTTTATGTTTTTTGTTATGTTTCGGTTTCATTCAACCATGTTAATATACAGTAGTTCAACAAGAAAGAATTTTTAAAATTATGTTAAAATCTGTGTACAAGCAGTAACAAACAGTAAAAGTCTGAAGATGGTTGAATAAAACTGAACCGTAACAAAAAAATAAAGTTGTTTAAATATTTGACCACGATTAAAAGAGACGTAAGTGTCAAATAAATGAATAAGACCAGTTGGGAGATTTTTCAGATGGATGCGGTTGTAAAATTTTATTTCACATATTTAGCAAAAACGGTGACAAAGAAATGTGCACATTCTATGCTCAGTGAAAATTTTGGTTTACCTATGCAGGTAGTTTCAAAACAACTGGTTTTCTTTTGATTATCACACTATTGAAATACTAGTGAAATTGAATGTTTTCTTTATTTAGTTTTTAAGGAGATATTCTAACCATTTTTCACGTACCCTCAACCCTTTGAGAATTTATCTCTTGATTTACTACGTCTTTTATTTATTATTATTCTGAATCCTGGCTGCAAAATATAAACTTATGCTAAGCTAATGATCTAGTTTAAAAATTTGGAAAAAATCCTACATTCTGATTGATTCATTCAATTAAAAACACACTGAATACTTCTGTTATAATAATTTTCTATTAATTTGGACGAAAGTGGTAAATGATTACAGAACCTAATTATTGTAAGTTCCTACCTACCTTATAATGTGTAGGGTCTACTACAAACAAACAATCTAATTTTATGCATCTATGTCACAGCCAAAGCCATTTTTTAATTAAGATTAACTGTTATCTACTTTTTAGTAATCCAAGTGTTATCTAGTTAAAATTATAATTTTCATTTTTAGCAAATAGGGTAAAAATACCGTCTTTTGTAAGGATCTAGATACATGAGTCATTTTATATGGACTTTCAATAAAACAATAGGTATAAAGCTATTTGTGTGAAGAAACAAGAAAATTAGCCTTTTTCTTTAATAGGAAAAGCACTCGTAACTGTATATGTGTATTTTTGTTATAAAGCAAAAGTTAAATGATAAAACTTATAAAAGAAGTAAAATAATTATGTGAAACTTACAGGAAAAGCAGGTAACTCAGGTGTTGCAGTGATTTCCCACGGATCACTAAACGTCAGGAATTAATAAAGGAACGAATTATAATAAATAAGTAATTAACATCACAATTAGCACAGTTATATAGAAAACACGATTCTCCGCAAGGGTCAGATTCTTCGGCAACCGTATTATTATTCTACAATACTACAACATTTCGACAACAGTCACTTCATGTATATGAGACAGAAGAAGACGCGATGATGACCGAATATTTAATCGGGAAAAGGCGAATGTTTATCTTACAATTACATTAATTCGTACCACGCGTTTGTCATAAGAATAATAATAATAAATAATGAAATGCTACAGGTACGGAAAAGAAAATGATTGACAGGTTAATAAGATAAAAAGATGAAAATTCCTGAATAAGATAAACTTGGTCAAATAAGTCAAAAGTGCTGGAAAATTCGTTAGCCGCGCCTATGATAACGGTAGCTTTAGAGCAACGATTCCCAAATGGTGTCCTGCGGAACCCTGGTGTTCCATGTAACGGTCGCAGGGTTTCCGTAAGATACGGCTTTTTTTCCTAATAAAAATATACAAAATGCTGCGGAAAACAGCCGGGCTTGTTCTAAGGNCCTTGTAGGTCGAAACTTGTTAAGAATTTAATAAAAATTAAGTGAAAGTTTTCAAAAAGTGTTTTTTTACCAAATATGGGTTTTAAAGTTACTTAAGGAAATAGATGAAAATTGACCAGTCTCCTCCTTTATCTCTGACACTACTAAACCTAAAATTTTGAAAACAATACAGAAAATAGTTCTTTACAGATTACAGGAAAGTTAATAAAAAGTACTGTTCGTTTCAAAAAGTTAGAGTTAGGATGCGCCGTAACATAATTCCAAATTCAATCATATTTATCTGCGGAGCTCATTTCTCCACCGATCACCGAGCGAGAACTAGACAAAAGTGTACTGTACCATTTGCAAAATTATTTAAACTGCCTCGTTAAAATTTAAGAATATCCTTTATTTAAAAGCATAATTAGGCAAAAATAATAACAAGTGAGTTAACTTAACGTTCTACACCCCTATAACACTTTTGCTTTGTTTTCTATTGTTAATTTATATACATTTTTGTTTTAACAAATTGCTAAACATTTTCGTCTAGTACTATACAGTTCTAGNCGAAATTGGACAGCCAATACTGCGCCAGGAATTGGTGGTCAACCTTAACCAAAAATTAGGCAGCCAATATTGGGCCAAGACTTGATAAACATTAACTCAAATTTGGGCTTCAGCCTAACTTGGTAAAGATTACACCTGGAAATCTCACCACCCACTCTCAGTCCATAAAACCTTCCCCCACGATATCAAAGTAGTACCGCTGAAGGTATCAGGCGATGGCCCAATAAGAGTTCGTTTAGACCACGGCCCTTCCCCAAATCACAATTGTACCTGTCTTCTTCGATATAACACACTTACGTTAGAAAGGAATTCTCATATTATTAGAAATGAAACTGTGATATACACTAGGAATCTGGGACTGTATGCAGACATGTAAACGCAAATTGATAACAGAAAAAACAACACGTCAAAAGCCTTTCAGACGGAGCAGGGACGTAGCCAGTACATTTTTGCATGGGCCATATCGTTGTCGATTTTATATGCTCTAAATTTCATAAAACTCAAAATGTCTGATAGTACCTATTAGTAATTAGTATATTACCCAGCTGGGCATAAAAAGTAAAGAACATCTCATACCTTATGTTTATTTCCTACCCTACCTAGATAAAAATTTTCAGTCTCTCAGTGTCTTCCAAAGTCTTTCAACGTCTCTCACAGTCTTTACAGTCTCTCAGTTATTGCCTAGGTGTTTTTATGGATCTCTCACAGTCTCTGTATGAGAGTCTCGAACGATAAAATTGTTAATTCAGAGATTCGACTTTCTCACTGAGAGACTAAATGAATAATACTGAAAAATTGAGAGACTCGAGTCTCTCGTAGAAAGACTGGGATCTCTGAAATATGTTGAACTTAGATAATTTTACCCATGTCTATCGAGACACCACTTATTGAAAGATTGGAGTCTCTCGTTCAGAGACTGGATACGAAATGAGGATCTCTCTATGAGCGACTCGAGTCTCTCGTTCAGAGACGCTAAGCAGGTTTTTTGACGGTCTCTCTGCGCCACCAGAGAGACTCGATGAGAGACAAAGAATCGAGTCTCGCTTTCAGAGACTCTGAGAGACTGAACATTTTTATCTCGGGCTGGCACGTTTGCTATTGTTCACCAACTATCTGCCAAGAAAGTAAATTTTTCTTGTGCAAATAATTTAGAAATCATGCTTATCAAGTGAAACATCTTAAATACTCCCGATTTAGACAATGTAATAGGTAAAAATTTTGGATCGATAAATAAAAACTCCACGTAATTCTGCTCTGAACAGTGCGTCTTGGGTTGTACTTGCAGTTTTAAATTTTACGTTAAGTAAGGTTAAGTTGATATTCAGGGTCGCCGAGAGCTTTCAATGAATGGGGTTTGACCACACCTTGTTACGTCCCTGGATAGGCATTAAAACAGCAGGTAATTCCATGATGACAGCCAAAAATTGAAGTGAAAAAAATAATATGCATATGGGGCACATAATACCTCTTTAGGTACTTGCTTCGAAATCCCAGTAATGTTAATTTTGATTGTTAATTTTTGAAATTGGGATAATTCGAAATTTCAGTGTGCTCTAAGCTTTTTTCATCCTTCCTAAACCTTCAATAGTTCATTATAACCGATGGTATGACATTGGGGTCAATGGTGTATCTAAGATTTGAGAAAAGGTAGATCAAACTAAGAAGAAGATTTTGAAACCCCCAATTATGCAAAATAAAATACTTACTGTAAAATCCAATGACAAAAATTTTCGTATAGGTTGTTTATTTTTACTGTTAGTTAAATCATTAATAAATGCGACAGGGTTATCGCTCCATTTGCCTGATGTAGTTTACTAATTATTCATCATCATCATTATGAGGTCGTCAGTCCTAACTCCTGTTTCTGCCTCTAATAAGTCTCTTACTAGACCTTTATGCCTGAGGAGGTGTCCTACCAATCTATCTCACCTATTTTTTATTGACTTCCATAGAGTCCTCTGTTCTCCTATTCTTTCAAATGCCTCTTAATTTCTAACCTTTTCTACCCACGTTATCCTCATCATCCGCCTATAACACCACATTTCGAAGGCTTCTAACCTCTTCTTTTCCGCCGCGCCCACTGTCCATGTTTCACACCCGTACAACGCCGCGCTCCAAACTGTTTCACGTTATAACCTAATGTGGCTATTCGTTACAACCGATTTATATTGGATATTTATAATATGAAAAGTACACAATTGTTGTAACGTAGTAAACTTGATGAGTTTTGTGCCTAATAAAAAAGACTTATTATTATCTAGTATATTAATAAATCGCTGTAAATACTGTTCTAATTAAAAAAAATTGTCTCCGTTCCTTCCTAACCTAAATTTCATTTGTCGACTGTTTGCACAAATGAAAACGTTGTCAGATAAAGAAGATGGAACGATGAAATCCGTTAATATAATTGATCATCAGTTTAGGAAGTCGCATACGGAATTCGGCGTTCGTAATAACAATTAGCTCCATCCAACGAAAGCTGATCGAATCGGGTTAATGATTAATTGATTTATCTTGCAGGTGACGCAAAAATCTTTTTTTCATTTCATAACCTTTCTCCCTCCTTATCCGTGTAGCTTCTCGGAGGAGTTATGATTAATATTCCCATTATTATAGGTATCATTTATGAATTTAATAAACGGAAAAATTCAATTTTAAATTTATTGTATAGATAAGTATCTAATCCAAATAATTTACTTTCTCGTTTTTTTAGGCTCCCAAATGTTTTTTAAGATTGTAGTCATTTAACATGGACAAATCGTGCCCCTTCTCCTGCATGATATTTAAATAGAAATTAAAGTCTGATTTGAAGTATGTCAGTAGTAGGCATCATCAGAGGATTGTGATGAGTAAAACATTGCAAAAAAACAATAAACTGTAAAGAATTTTCTCTTTTCATTTACATTTTCCTCACAGAACTGTCGAATTCCTTTAAAAACCCATGAGGGAAATCACAACAGGATTAAGGTTGATCTAACATTGCTCAATTCTGGTCCGAAATTGGAACCAAGACTTGGTGAACAATAATATCCGGAAGATTGGGCAGCCAATATTTGGCCAAGACTTGATGAACAATATTAGTCCAAAATTGGGCAGCCAATATTGGACCAAAACTTGATTAGTAATAAATAATAGTCCAAAATTGAGCAGTTAATACTGGCTCAAGAATTGGTGAGCAATCTTAGTCAAAATTAGACCAAAACTTGACAAACAATAACAGCCCAAAATTGGGTAGCCAATACTGCGCCAAAAATTGGTATCCAAACTTAACCAAAAATTCGGCAGGCAATATTTGATCAAGACTTGATAAACAATTATAGCCCGAAATTGGACAGCCAATACTGCGCCAGGAATTGGTGGTCAACCTTAACCAAAAATTAGGCAGCCAATATTGGGCCAAGACTTGATAAACATTAACTCAAATTTGGGCTTCAGCCTAACTTGGTAAAGATTACACCTGGAAATCTCACCACCCACTCTCAGTCCATAAAACCTTCCCCCACGATATCAAAGTAGTACCGCTGAAGGTATCAGGCGATGGCCCAATAAGAGTTCGTTTAGACCACGGCCCTTCCCCAAATCACAATTGTACCTGTCTTCTTCGATATAACACACTTACGTTAGAAAGGAATTCTCATATTATTAGAAATGAAACTGTGATATACACTAGGAATCTGGGACTGTATGCAGACATGTAAACGCAAATTGATAACAGAAAAAACAACACGTCAAAAGCCTTTCAGACGGAGCAGGGACGTAGCCAGTACATTTTTGCATGGGCCATATCGTTGTCGATTTTATATGCTCTAAATTTCATAAAACTCAAAATGTCTGATAGTACCTATTAGTAATTAGTATATTACCCAGCTGGGCATAAAAAGTAAAGAACATCTCATACCTTATGTTTATTTCCTACCCTACCTAGATAAAAATTTTCAGTCTCTCAGTGTCTTCCAAAGTCTTTCAACGTCTCTCACAGTCTTTACAGTCTCTCAGTTATTGCCTAGGTGTTTTTATGGATCTCTCACAGTCTCTGTATGAGAGTCTCGAACGATAAAATTGTTAATTCAGAGATTCGACTTTCTCACTGAGAGACTAAATGAATAATACTGAAAAATTGAGAGACTCGAGTCTCTCGTAGAAAGACTGGGATCTCTGAAATATGTTGAACTTAGATAATTTTACCCATGTCTATCGAGACACCACTTATTGAAAGATTGGAGTCTCTCGTTCAGAGACTGGATACGAAATGAGGATCTCTCTATGAGCGACTCGAGTCTCTCGTTCAGAGACTCGAGTCTCTCGTTCAGAGACTGGATACGAAATGAGGATCTCTCTATGAGCGACTCGAGTCTCTCGTTCAGAGACGCTAAGCAGGTTTTTTGACGGTCTCTCTGCGCCACCAGAGAGACTCGATGAGAGACAAAGAATCGAGTCTCGCTTTCAGAGACTCTGAGAGACTGAACATTTTTATCTCGGGCTGGCACGTTTGCTATTGTTCACCAACTATCTGCCAAGAAAGTAAATTTTTCTTGTGCAAATAATTTAGAAATCATGCTTATCAAGTGAAACATCTTAAATACTCCCGATTTAGACAATGTAATAGGTAAAAATTTTGGATCGATAAATAAAAACTCCACGTAATTCTGCTCTGAACAGTGCGTCTTGGGTTGTACTTGCAGTTTTAAATTTTACGTTAAGTAAGGTTAAGTTGATATTCAGGGTCGCCGAGAGCTTTCAATGAATGGGGTTTGACCACACCTTGTTACGTCCCTGGATAGGCATTAAAACAGCAGGTAATTCCATGATGACAGCCAAAAATTGAAGTGAAAAAAATAATATGCATATAAATACGTGAATTTAGTTCTAAGTACCTATACGTATTTTTTTTTTTAAATAGCTTCCCCTGTTTTCTAAATTAATTTCTCCTTTTGTTATTTTTTATTGTTGTACAATTGGACTGCGCCGGGTATACGTATATAATTATTTTGATTTTTCAATTTTGTTCATTCCTTCTATTTGTTACCTTAAAGTGGAAAAGAGGTGATCATATTCACTAAAATATGAGTTTAATAAACGGGCGTTATATTGAGCAATGTTGAATGTTGTTTTGCGGTGTTGATAGAGGTTGAATTATGGTGTCCATTATGGTGGCTGCTACTAGTTTCTCGATGGAGAGAGTTCATCAGTTCTTCATTTTCTTTTCTCACTGAAACAAAAATACAAATGCTTCATGATTTCGAACGATAAATTGCAATTGCTCGTAATGAAAAGAACAAGTGACCTGAATTTAAGTTTCCTAGAAAAGAAAATACACTAAAAAGTTGCAATATTAATTTGAAATCATTTTTTCGATTTTTTATTTATCCACTACAAACTACCTCAAATTAATGAGGGAAAAAATGGTTGCTGTTGTCACACCCCACCGGGAATCGAACCCGGGACCTTTAGCTTTACGCATCAATGCTCTGACGACTAAGCTACGAAAGGTGACAACAGTAACCACGACAAACCGACCTACAAAATTAACGATCCTTCGATTTTTATATGACATTGTTAATTATTAATCGACGGATCGTTAACCTTATAGGTCGGTTGGTCGTGATTGCTGTTGTCACCTCTCGTAGTTTAGTGGTTAGAACATCGGTGCGTAAAGCCAAAGGTCCCGGGTTCGATTCCCGGCGAGGGCGTGACAACAGCAACAATTTTTCCCTCATTAATTTGAGGTAGTTTGTAGTGGGTAAATTAAAAATTGAAAAAATGATTTCAAATTAATATTGCATATTAATCCACTATTAAGTAATTAACAATGTCATAGGATTTCATATATTCACTAAAAAGTTATAAATGCTTTCAAAAATTATATTGAACTACTCCAAAAATTGGAGATTTATGTATTTTTCCAATTTAGTTATTAAAATTATTTAATACAATAATTCAGATCCGACGCGAACGTGGTAGTGAACAATCGTTTTTTTCCTGACGCCCTGCTTAGAGGGGTACCTACACCAAGTGAATTATTATGTATGTCTTTGAGAGAGCGTGTCGCCGCACCCTTAACTGGGTTGCAGGAAAAATTCTGTGCAGTAGTTCGACTCACTTTACTCTCTTCAGCACCTACATCTGCTAACACAAATCAGCTAATTTAGACTGGTAAGTAAGTGGTCTAAAAGCCAGTTATGATTGGTTAATGTGCCCAAAGACAATGAAACTTAACTACTAATGCTAGTGAGCAGGCAGTCTTTTAGCATTTGCCTAAGTGGTCTCAAGTAAACCATAGAATAACTTGCACCAGGGCTGACGGATCCGAAATCGTTCCCGTGTCCTTCCCATTGGTCTAAACCTCCAGGTCATCCCTAGACAAAAATTTTCAGTCTCTCTCCAGCCTCTCAGAGTGTTTTAAAGTATTTCATCGTCTCCGAGAGCGTCTCTCACAGTCTTTCAGCCACTCTGAGAGCGTCTTTCACAAGAGACTGTGAAAGACGCTCTCAAAGTCAGAGTCAGAGTCTTTCAGTGTCTCTGAGAGAATCTCTCACACTCTTTCACAGTCCCTCAGTTATTGCCTAGGTGTTTTTATGGATCTCTCACAGTCTCTGTATGAGAGACTCGAATGATAAAATTGTTAATTCAGAGATTCGAGTCTCTCGTTCAGAGATTCGAGTCTCTCGTTCAGAGACTGGATACGAAATGAGGATCTCTCTATGAGCAACTCGAGTCTCTCGTTCAGAGACTGGATACGAAATGAGACGCTAAACGGTTTTTTGACAGTCTCTCAACGACACCAGAGAGACTCGATGAGAGACGCAGACTCGAGTCTCGCTTTCAGAGATTCTTATACTCTGAACATTTTTATCTCGGGATGCCCCTCGATCACTAATACAGTAATAAGAATTCTAACCGTCAACATCATTAAGATGGTGTCGTGGGTGGAAATTTTGTTGATATTTACACTAACGTCCAATAGAGAACCGAATGTAGGGATATCCCATAAGTTACTTTTGATTCATTCTTGATGGATAATTTTTTAGAGATATTCTGTGTAATCATCAAAGAGGCGGCATCATCTTTTGAAAAATATCACGCGGTACCAAAAAATACAAACACATTCAGTCATCGTTACGCTTTGCTCAAAAGAATCTAGCTATTCTAGGACTGTTTTCAAAAAAGAAGTGCTACTTTCATGCAGACGTGGTCACTTTTGCTCATAAAACACAAAAAGAAATAATTTTGACAAGGAAAAATGTGCTTTCTATGTTTGGTGAACTGTTGCAATCTTGTGCAATGAACCAATAACCGTCTTTTTCTGTCTATGGGCCTCCAAACTTTATATTTACTTATTTTAAATTTGTTTTATACAAGTCATCTTGAAAATTAAAATATGGTAACCAATTACTCCTTTTATTTATTTAGATTTCAAAAACCCACTTAAACTCTTAATATATCAGCGTACTTCCGTTCAAAACACCACTTATCTGAGTTTTAATGCTCAGCTAAATGTATGTAGGTAACAAGTAGAGGATATTATCTATAGTACCAATTTATTATTCAAACAATCAATCGAAAACTCCCACGCTAACAGTATAGTATTATCTTGGCGAAATTCTGATCGTTTATTAAAATTCAGCGCTGACGGCATACACGCAAAAGTTCTTTATTCTAAACTTGGCCATTGCACCATCGGTTATACTTTCTAAGAGCTTTTTAAATAACGTGTACATACAAATTAGGTCGATCTATCTTCTATTACACCAGAAAATCAATTGACGTCATTTGCTACTTACTTGTACTTTCTCAATCCTATTTCTAATTTTCAAATTTTACTGAAAATATATACACGTAGTATATAAAAGATATTGGATAGTGGATAATGTAAACTGAAAAGGACAGCATTTGATCCCTTTATCAGTTTTTTTATAAAGGAGGTGATAAACAAAAGTGGTACTGAGAGTTTAACAAGGAGAACATAACCTCTACATAAAATCTTATTTTCGAATTTTGCTTAATTTTTAATTTTTATGATACTGTGGATAGAGAAGGTTAGAAATGAAGAGGTATTAGAAAGAATTGGAGAAAGAGGACTCTATGGAAGCCAATAAGAAATAGGCGAGATAGGTTAGTAGGACACCTTCTCAGACATGAAGGTCTAGTCAGAGACATATTAGAGGTACAAACCGGAGTTAAGAGAGGTAGAGGTGGGCTTAGATTGTATTACTGTTCGCAATTAGTTAAGGATATGGGTTGTTCTAGTTTTAGGGAAACACGAAGATTAGCTCAGGATAGGAATGTGTGGAGGTGCGTGTCTAACCAGTCTTAAGACTGACGATCTTATGATGATGACGATGATCTTCGTCATTATCATGATAAGGTTTGCAGCCAAAAGACTGGTGAATCTTCACTTTTTCCTACCTTGATCTAATCTCCACATTTTTCGAAAACTAGAGCAACCTTTAACTATTATTTCCGAACCATAATCAAATGTAGGTCCACCTCTGGCCCTATTCACTACTCTTTGTACTTGTAATATGTCTCTAACCATGTCTAAGAAGGTGCCCTACCAATTGGACTGCACGGCCTTGTTACATTATAAAGATTCCATACAGTAGGGTTCACTCTTTTGATCTGCCTACATTTTTTGCATATTATAATGAATTAGCTTCATGGGCATTGAACTGCCATATACGAGGACGAGCTTTACCGAAGTATTTAGATACAAAATGTGTCTGTACTGTGGTTTCACGATACCACTCTGTACAAGCTAGATCCTGCTTAGCGATGAATTCGTAGATAAAGTGATGAAGCGTCGACAGGAGAAAGATTTATGGGCGTGGCTGGGAAGTGAATCTACTGTATAGAATCTTTATATTGTGGCTTAGTGGTTCAGAATAATGTACAGCATTCCAGGGGACACTGGTTCGATTCCTGTGTTATCTGACTCCCTAAATCCGAAAATCAGTTACTTCTTCATACAAAAGTCAATAAAATTTAAGATAAACTTTAAAAATTGCGAATTCCAACTGAAGTGTAGTTGTTTTGTTCAGATCTACGAACACCTTGGAGAATTACGTATCTAACCTACGTTTATTGCTTCAATTAGACATTTTCTCTTGATGTTGTCGCTCTTTTTGTTATTTAAAGTGCCTACCTACACATTTAGCGTTCTGTATTTTTTTATCTCGTCTGCAACCGAGTAAAAACTAACGTGTGCACATGCAGCGTTGTTTTATTATTCATTTTGAAGTTATCAAGTACGAGAATTTAACGGAAAACGTTTCTGAAACAGGCTGCCAGCTATTTTCGTACTGCCACTATTCATTTTCCCTTTGTTTGGACGAGAACCCTCTTTGCATAAAACATTTGTTAAAAATATACCTTAGGATGTAGCGCGGTAGAATTTTCTATGAAGATTGCTCTTTACATAAAATTGCGCCCCGTGTTAACGCCTGCTATTCTGCAACGATCAGTCTGCTCCAATTTTGCAGAGGAAGCCCGTTTTACATACATATATTCATTTTCATGCAGGCAACATAACCTCAAATTTACGATCTCAATTCAGTGTGCATGTTTAAGGTTATGAATATCTTGGTAGTGGTCTTGCTCAAACATTTCTGCTCTTGGTCTTGGTCTTGCGTGTTAGGTCTTCGTCTTAAAGTACTGAAAATGTTTTGTTCCAAGAAAAGAACATATTAAAATTGCTTCAAATAGTTTAACTCCTAAATCCACAGGAAGTAATTTAAATTTCTCGTCTAGTCTTGCGTTGAAAATCTTGGTGTTGAAAATTCGGTCTTGGTTTTAGACTTGGTCTTGTTCGTTCGTTCTTGGTTTTAGTGTTGGTCTTGTTTGTCGAATGCTAGCATAAAGACAGTCTTGGCGAAAATGCAAGATGAAGACCAAGACTGCCAGACTCAATATTTGTCAATCTACCTGCATTTTCATGGAAATATTTTTAGCAGTCAACGTCCCCTTACCATAATATATATTGATTTATGGAACCTATTTAATTACTTCTCTTTAAGCAATATTGAAATTTTTTCCTTCTTTACCTTCATGTAGCCATCTTTTTTAATAATGCAACAGTAAACACGTCTTTCAATCTTGCATCTACATTCATATTTCTCCAGGGCTCATCTTTTCAAAATCGTTCTTGTACGTTCCACAAGGAAAGGTCAAAGTTTATGCCGGTATTACACAACGTCATCCAAGAGTGCAAAACAGCCTTATCGCAGGGCGCATATAATACCTGACATGATAGTAACATTCCTTTTATTTATTTATTTATTT